AATTTTGATAAATATTTAATTATGATATTATTAGAATTTTTACAAATATTTTTATAAATTCTTTAAAAAAACTAATTTTCTTTTTTTTAAATATTAAAAATTCTTTTGGATTTGATTAAGATTTAATAAATATTGAAAGCTTTAATTAAAGTTTTTAAGATCTTATTGTAAAAGTTTTTAATTTATATCCCAAAATTAAGTACTTGATGTATTTTCAAATAAGGTGTCATGTTATACATTAATATGATCTAATATTAGATAATTTGAAGTTTTTTTTGAATTTTTTTTTGATCCATGTATGAAAAACATGATGCAATTTATGTTACAAAAAAATATTCTTCAAAAAAATCTACTTCAAAAATATTCCATATGTCTTATATAATATTTTTTAAATTTAATTTTAAAAAGCCTTAATAAATATACATTAATTATTTTTTAAGTTAAATATTTTTATTATAAATATTTATATTTAAGAAACTATTAAAGATGGTATTTATATTAATCTATATTTTTCAAATTTCAATATCATGATAAATAACATATTTTTCATGAAAATAATTTAAATGATACTTAAAAAATAATCCAATTAAATTTATATATATAAAAATTATCTTTGGTGTTGATTCCAAAGTTCTTTAATATGTTATAAATTTATTAGAAAGGCCCTATTTTTATATTTAAGTAGTTTTTTTTTTTTAAATATAGGCATTATAATCTATCAAAGTGTTATTTAAAATATGAGAAATTTTAAGGTATTTTTTTTAAAAAATGTATATAATTTTTTTTAAAAAGACTATTATAATTTTAAAATTAAAAGTAGAATATTCATTATTATATGCATGTTTGTAAAAAGATATATATAAATATGTATATATGATATTTCAAGATAATAAGTCATAAAATCTTATTAGCATGGATGTCATATCCTTTATAAATACTTTGTATTATATTTCTTTATTTTTAATTATTTTTATTTTTAAAAAAATATAAAAACTTAAAATAAAATTTTAATATTACTTATGTTTTTTATTTTCTTTAAATGAAAAAAAATCAAAATTTCTCACAATATTTAATTTCTTAAAAGATACATTTTTTATAATTAATCAAAATTTTAGGAAATAAATATATTATATATTATATATTTATAAAAATTTATTTTATAAAAATTAATTTATTTATATCAAATTTGATTAACTAAAAGAAATAATCAATAAACACCATGTAGTCGGCAAAGCAATGTGATTATTAGGACTAAAGTAACATTGTATGTTTGAACAATGAAATCAACATTGATTATTGATTTATCTTTTTTAATAAAATAAAATCAAGTATATCCTTAACTCTTATTTTATATAATATTAAAAATATATATTTTAAATCTCATGATACTTCTAATTTTGAATTTAAATATAATTTAAACTATTTTGAGGGATACTTATATGATCCAAAAGGTAAAGCATAATTACATGTTCTTTAATCTCATCACAATTTTTTAGTTGTTAGACATTTGGGATACAATAAGACTTTAAAGTCATTATCAATAAATTTTTGGTGGCATCAAATGTGGAAAGAAATTAAGACTTTGTACAATCATGTGATATTTTTTTAGTTCAAAATCTTATTGTCATTGACCTTATGAACTTCTTCATATACTATCTATACTAGTACAATCATGGTTTCCTATTTTTATAGATTTTATCATGGATCTATATCATTAGCTTTCAATTTCAAGTTTATACGGCTCTATAATTGTGATAATAGATCATTTCACCAAGATGGCATATTTTGTACTACATATAAAAACTATCACAAGTAAAGAAACAATTAAAGTATTTTTAGGTAATATTTATTGCTATAATGGATTATAAAAGGATAGTATATTAAATAAAAATATTTAATTTTTATCTAAATTTTAGATTTTTTTTAAATATTGAAAAAAGATATAAATTTAACTTAGAATTTCTAACTTTAAATTGATATATAAATAAAAAAGATGAATTAAGTTTTGAATAACATCTGAGATGTACTATCAACTACCATCAAGATAATTAAACAATTCTTTTTTTATTGGAAAAAAATTCTTTCAATAATATCATATATATATTTTTTATTTAACAAATATTTTTTTATGCTAATTACATCTTTTTATTTTTTAAGATGGGATGATCATATTGTATAAAATTTGTTTTTAGAGAAGAAAATAATTTCACAGATTTAACTAATACTTGTAATAACCTAAATAATAGGTGTTGAATAGAAGTAAATAAATTTAATAATAAATTATAATGAAGTTTTTTAGAAGCTTTATATAGGCAAATTTTGCTTTTTACGTATTCATACAAGATGAATATGTTGAAAATTTTGGCCAATTTATAAAACACAAATATAATGGCTTGAATAATAAATTATTCATATGAATTTTTTTTAACAATGTTATTAATAAATGTTTAATATTATCATTCAATCCATATCAATAGTTATTAATAAGAATTTTACCACTCCAATCTATATTGCAAAAAAAGTTTTGGAATTTAGCAATATAAATGGTAATTGATTGTTATCATTATGGTAAAGATAGTAATTTTGTTTCTTCTACCTTTTTTCAATCATTTTTTTTGAAATATAGCCATAAATGCTTATAAGAATAAATTTAGATTGCATAGAAGTTCCAAATATTTTTTCATCAAAAAAAAGAAAAAGAAAAACTTCTATATATGAGTATATTTACAAATTCAAATCTAATAAATCTATTAAAATATTAAAGAATATGTAACCTTAAATAAAGCTTAAATTGTTGTAAAAATTCTTAAATCTTTGATGTTGTTCCATTAAACTTCTTTAGCATATTAATATTTGTCTCTCTTATACTTATAGTATCAATATTTTTTGGATTAACTTGTGATGTTGATCCATTTGTTTCTTTCAATTACACAAATGTTTTGTATAGACATTAGAATTTATTGTGGACTTCTTCTATATGCATAGAAATTATATTTCTACAATTAACATTAATAATACATAATTTTTTTTCTTTAAGAGTGTTGACAATATCTTACAAATTTGTAATAGTTGCAAATTACTTCTCATTTCTACTAAGTATAGCATCCATAATTATTCCTTTTATTTCTATAATGGACCTCTTTAATAGTTCCATAAGTTAAACAAGTGGAAGATAATGCACAATCTTTGATATCAAATAAAAAATTCTACAAAGAAGAGTGATCTATTCTTTTTTAAAAAAAGAATTAATATTAAAAAAAATATAAAATATTAATTTAAAGATAGATAATTTGCAACCTTTAAAATACAATAATATAAAGTAGAGGAATTCATTCACTTCTAAAAAAAATAAGAATTTAAAATTAATATTCTTGCTAAACTATCAAGAACTTGAATTATAAGAATAAAAATATACAAGTGAGATGTGTTTTTAAAGAAAGATGTCATAAAGTAAAATTGGTAGTATGTATACTTAAGAAGATAATTGGAATGACAATTGCTAAGAAGACTTTTGAAACTAGACTAAGAGTAAGAAGAGAGTTGACTATGGTGAAGAAGACCTTACTCTTTTGTCTATATATACTATCTTACAAAGAACTATGAGGTGATGTTCTATATATTTACACCTAATTCTACATATTTAAGTATTTATAAGTGTTGGTTACATTTGTAACAAATTATTACACAACTTATAGTTAAATGATATATATGGAGGTAAGAATGAAGCCTTTCTTATTCTTATCAACACATTTCTTATTCTTAGCATTGTTTGAAGAGTGTCTAACCTTCTTCTCTAGTCTTTTAGTGATTATCTATTCCTATTCAAAAAAATAAGAGTATATTGACTCTTAGTTTCTTTGTATTTTATGTCTTTAATAACAACATAGATTGTACAATTTTACCAAAGATGATTTTCAGCATACATGTAATATGCCACATGTGATAATTAATATTTTTTCTTGCAACTAATGATGTTAATTAGTAGAAAGTACTTTGTTTTTATTTAGATTCATTAACACACTTATTGATTCTTTGTCATTGTATTATCTAAGAAAGTCTATGTTGTGTAAAATAATATTTTTTTAATTATTTAATCAATTATTTGATTATTCTTTAGAAATATCTTTTCATTGACTTCTTTAATTAATGATCTAAAAAAAGATATATATTAAATAAATATCAAACTAAGAAAAAAACTAACTAAAAGGAGAAGCTTAGTGAATTAAATCCTTTTTGGATCTATGGAAAGCAATAGGGATTTCTCAATATGATTTGTAATTTTTTTCATACCACAATTATAAACATATATATATATATATATATATATATATATATTAAGGCAATTTACATAGATTATCATATAACCATCTCTAAAGTAATTCATGATCTTAAATTTTTTTCTTTTTAAAAATATTTTAATTTTTTTCTTTAGAATTACAATATGATATTTTAACTAGATGTTTGTACACAATTTGAAATAACTAAGGAAAAACATAAATTCTATAGTTTTTGGCTTTACTAAAATCACATTAATTGACATATACTCAATATGAAAGATATTGATATTTTAATTTAAAAAAACATTATTATTTTATATAAATCAGCATTTTAATTTTGTGCAATTCAGCTTGTTTTAGAATACAAAAATGTATCAAATGAAAAAATTGCAAAACATTATGTTATTGAGTGTTGTTTTTTCCAGGAACAAAAGATTAGTTAGTTAATGGTTGTGTCATTTAGCATGTTTTTGAAAGATCCATACTTCTAAATTATTTTGGTTAACTAGCCTCAGGGCATAACTAAATTTCAGTATATTGGAAAGTATTTCCTTGTTGGTCTTCATGGATGGGTTGTAGTTCTCAGTGAGGCAACAATTAGTTTCACCGGGTAGTTTCGATTATGTTTTTTAAAACCAGTTGAAAAGCCTTTGAACACCATATTACAAGAGATTTGCCAGTAATGGTAAAAGATCACACATCATTTCTGTAGGAATTGCTAACTTGTTTAAAATACAAATACCTTCATACATAATCCCATCAAAGGAATGAAAGGGAGGAAGAGAAGAGAATGCTAGTCCACATATTTTAACAAAATAGAGGCATGAGTAAAGCTTAGAAGAAGCATTTCATGCACAATGTTCAGAAACAGGCAGAGAATTCACTGCGAGGAGGCAACACAATGAATGTGGAGAGAGAGAGAGAGAGAGAGAGAGAGAGAGAGATGCTTCATCCACATGGAGTTTCTATCATTCGTTCGCCTACCTACATCCATCTAGCATGAAGATTGTATCGCGACCCCATTGCAGTATCCACTCCAGCAACAGGCAGCGATTCTGCGCTGGAAATGGCCTAGTATACGTGTCATACAACGAGCCCACAAGGGAGAGCCTGTGAGTTGGAGCGGTGACAACTGGTGGGCGGTGCATTGCAGCGCACGCCGCACACACTCGAAGCTAGTAGGCCGCCATAGCTACACAGGCATCGAACACTCTACAGGGAAGAAGGCAACGAGCCACGAAGAATAATGTGGATACGGAGAGAGCTCAATCAAGCTTTCGGTATCCGTCGTAGTCCACATCCTTGCAAGCTGCGAACAGCGACTCGCACAACTCCCACGGCACTCAGTTGCTTGGCATCAGCTCGTAGACTGTCTCCTCGCATGGGGAGGTCGGCGATGCTGACATCCAGCTGCACCCCGACGAAGTAAGCCACCTTGCCAGTTGCGCTGCGCACCGGTGCAACGTGCAAGTGGTTCCAGAACGGTGTGTCGTCTTTCCTGAAAGTTGTGATGACCAGTGAGCTGGTCAGTGTGCTGTGTTTTGCAAGTAAAGTTTGACTGTGTCTGGAACACGATGGTGAAGCCGTTAAGGTGCTGTGAACAAAGGAGTGTAGGTCACTCACCTGTAATTTAAAATTCTCACTGTGCATGGCCGCTCTGCCTGGATAGCCTCACGGATCTGGAAGGTGGAACATCGACATGGATGAGTACGTGGCCGTGCAGCTCAAAGATGTCTAGAGATGTGGGTAGAAATGTGCAGGGTTGGTACGTCATTTTGCGTATCCCAGACACGAAACGTTTGACGCTGCTTTCAAATGCTCCCAAATGCGAGAAAACATGCTGCAACTGAGTGACCCTTAGACGATGGAAGTGCTCCGGACAAGAAGCATGATCCTATCACCAAGTGGGACTACCAACGAGGCAAAAATGAAAGGGAGCGCAGCCAGGACCGGCCGCAGCCAGGTGCAAAACGTGAGAGAAGCATTTCTTTTGCTGAAGAATAGGTGTAAGAGTAATATGGACAGGCTAGGTTACCTCTCGCACTGACTCGGGATCCGTATCAGGGCCTTGTAGAAATCTGCAATTCCTGCCAACGACTTCCTCACGGCTGTAACCTGTTTCGTACAAATTAATCAAAGAAATAAGTCACAACAATCCATACAATCCCAAGTTTTTCCAAACCTACGTAACCGTTTTTGCAACAGCACCTCAGAAGGTTAAAGTAATTTTTTTTATCGATGTACGGGTGCCTAATTGAGAAAGCAGGTTTGCAATGCAAACCTGTAAGCTCGCAGAAGACATCACTGGCATGAACAATGGGAGTATCTGGTAGACTCGGATCAGCTCTGAAAAGTTCATACATGATAGTTAGAAGTAACCGTGATATAATTAAGTACAACGACATTCCAGATTGTACACTAGCAGTGCGAATGTAGTTCGATCTGAAAGAATTGATTCGAGAACAGAAAGTTTGAGAGATGCGAAGTAGTTTAGATCTTCAATGAAATCGTAGAGATGAAAGCAGGAGAGGAGTGGAACAGAAACTAATGACCCAGGGATGATTGCTTACAGGACAAGACTCTGCTGAATGCGTGTCAGCGAGAGCAATAAAGATGAACTCACAACGCCTTTGGCTGCACACTCAGACAACCCTATGCGTCGATTTTGTTCGAGAGCACCTTTCACTCTGCTTGACCGGGTGAGCTCCCCAGTAACTGTTTGAACCGCAACCGCCGCTTTCTCTTTCACATCATCATTCACGAAGGATGGCATAGCTTCATCTTCCTCGTCAGCATGTGAAGTTGCTGTTTCACGATCAACCATAGGTTCAGTTTCTGAAGCTTACAACAATAGACACTCAAATCTATCAAAGCTTCTAGAATTTTAGTAGGCAAGAGATACGAATACGAGCTGGGCAGCATATTCATTCAACGAATAGGAGGAAAGGGCAGATTCTGCTTTCCATCGAACATTGAACAAGCTTGCTGTGTAATGCTAAAGTGTACGAGGCGAAGGAATCGAACACAGCTGGAAAATAATGCGACCGAGTCCCACATGATTGTTGACATACGCAAGTGTCCATCGATCTACAACCAAGCCAAACAAACTGAAGTCCACCGCAATGCAGTGCAGTGACCAACCTCCGCCTCTCAACCGCATATTCACTGAGCTCTCGTCTGGCGAGTGTAGAGAGTCTCCGCGCAAATCAGCCGCGCTTTCTTCGGCTGGCACAGAGCTGCCATCTTCAGCAGGTAGCGCCGCCGTCACAGCCTCGGACAAAAGGTCCTTAGCAATGGGTGTCTGCACACCCACATAATGAATCACCCGACCATCATTGGAGAAGATCGGCGCCATGTGAAACAAGTTCCAGAATGGCTCCCCTTGCTTGGTATAGTTTAAAATGCGCACTTGACATGCCCGCTCCTCCCGAATTGCGTCCCGGATCTCCACAACCGTGCCGCGGTCGGTGTCGGGCCCTTGAAGAAATCTACAGTTGCGACCCAAAACCTCTTCCCGGTCATAACCCGACATCCGCAGAAACCCCTCACTGGCGAATACAATCGGGTGGTCCGGTAGGCGCGGGTCGCTCAACACGAAGTTGTACTCGTGCTGCTGCAGCACCTGCCCAATCTTCTCATTGTAAGCGCGGCTCAAGCTGTCCACGAGCTCCTCCAGCTTCACCGCCCGCCTCTTTCCAAAGCTGCAGGTCCTATCCCCATTCCTTCCACCCAACTTCAACATATCTCCTTCTGAATCCATCACGGCAGCAACACTATCTCCCACAGACATCTCCTCTTCAATCCTCAAACCCCCAACCCACAAATTCTTCGTCACCGCTGTGCAGACCTTAGCTTCCTTCGACACGCAAATCCGCACTCACACTTCATCGACTGCGCTCCTCACTGGCGACACTCTCGCTTTCGAATGAAGATACGAACGCCTGGCCTTGAATGCGCTGCGCTTGGATTGGCTCCATGGCTATGGCTAGCATCCAATTCTCTTCGACAAATCCCAACTCGAACAAACACAAAAACACGGATCGGATAGCGAGAACCTTAATGGCCCCGAAATTGCGACACATAATGTCAATGCCGAACATTCGTGTTTTCCAGGTGGCGCACATGCATTGGGCTGGAGGATGTCCGAATTTTACCCACCTTTTTCTGAGTTCGCGATACCATTTAATTACATATTTTTGTTATTATGATTATTCTATTCCTTTCTAAGGCCGTCAATGGGTCAAACTTAGTTGATTCCGAAAGGGACTCTTCCAGGTTTCACTTATTGCAATTGACGTGCGTGTTTTTCCTGTGCAAGGAAAGTAACAACTGTAAAAATTGATTCTTCGTGGAACTTTGAAGAACCACTACAGCAAGGATTAAATTACATCAACTTTAATCTGAACACCACACTTGACTATTTCTCGAAATAATCATGGATGATTTGAGAATGCAGCAAAACATAATTGGGTTGCAAGAAAATAGTGGTAGAGCTGAGGACAAAATAAGAACTTTGAATGATCTAGAAATTCACATAGAAGGTTCATTTTCAAGAACTTGTGGTGCAGATTGAATTTCCAAGAAATCGTATCTGTACTTCTTACTTTTACAACAATGCAGCGTAAGATTCCATTCATTGAATTCTATGTTTGTGAGTTGCTAGACTAATGGTTGATTCTCTTCACAGACGTTTAAGGAATGTGAGACAACAGCTTGGATATCTTCAAACCATAACACAAGATTGAGGTGAGTGACAAGGAACTCCAATTATCATCCGAGCTATTTGAGCATCTTTTGATTTCCGGACATGTTTTGTAACTCAGGTGAGATCAGGTTTGAGTAGAGCAGAATGAAGAAAGTGGTCCACGGACTTTGCAACATTTCTGGAGCTGCGTTCATTTGTGGGTGAGAAGCAGGTCAAGTCATCACATCCGCTGCACTGATGTCCATGTCAGAATTCCAATAATAGAAAACTTTGCATCTGTGCCTAAAGTTCAGAATCTCACAAATTTTGTGCTAGTCGAATTCCTCCAACTGACTGAAAGTTTGGCGAACACGGATCACGTTTTCCAGATATGGAGCTGGAAAACAGAGTTGAGATGAGAGTTTTCATTTACTTGGTGCTGGACAAGGTCCAGAATTCGACTGGATGAATGTGCTTGCTGACTGAATACTTTTGTTCATGCAATGGGAGGCTGTAGGGGTTAAGGTTTGGACGTTCCTAATGGCCTAAACTCAACGAATGAAGCTATGGATGTGGGTGTGACTGGAGCCCGCCAGAGGCGATCACTTAGACAACTATTGCCGTATGGTGCCAAACGCGGAACAACTGGAGGGAGATGAAGGACGGCCGCAAACGCTTGCCTTTGAGATGAATGAATAGTACCAAAAAAACGCCTGTGACCTCAATACAAGCCAGGGTTCTTACATTAATTCAGTGGTAACATTCTCGATAACCCTCCTAATTCCTAGCTAATCTGTCTACCGGATTGGCTTCGACAGGATTATGGCTTTACCCAATTCTTATCCCTGCATGTGTAGGGCTATTCTCCTTCCAGATAAACCGTAGCAGGGGATGGTTTTGCAGAGGCCTAGTACATAACTTCGTGGCCAACTAGGTTGATGAAGGTGAGATTTGAATCTAGAGTGCATGTCATGAGGTCAAAGTTGGGTACCATGAAGGAAATTAATCAATGTCTGGACAAATGGGGGCAAGCAAAAATTTAAGTCATGGCTTATCTTGTGCAACAATGCAGGATGGATCAGTGTATTTTGCATAAACTTTCTTTTCTTTCGCATCTTTTTTTCCTTCCTATAAACCACCATATCCCCAATGATGAATTTTCTTGAATACTTGACACATTTATCATGGCATTCTTTCTACATTTGTTGTGCCTTGTGGTTTGAAGATGGTTTCGATATTGGAGAAGATTATCAACATATTGTTGTAGGTCTATTGATGGTTCCACAATCATATTAGCTTGGTCATGAGCCATTGGCAATTGTAGCTTTTGACCATATAAGAATTCAAAAGAAGACATGTTAGTGCTAGAATGCAACTTAGTTTGGTATGCAAAGTTGATCGCAAAAAACATTATATGCCAATGATTGTCATATGATCTATTGCATTCAATGAACAAATACAAAGTCTAATTGAAGGATTCAATTAAACCATTGCATTGTGGGTGATAAGTAGACGTTATGATATACTTGACTTTCATTTGCATGGCTAATATATTGACCAAAGTATCACGAAATTTAGAGCTATTGTTAGTGAGAATCTTGCATGGATTGTTGTGTGTCATAATTATTGAAATAAGTCACTTAGTAAAAGGTATTACCTTAGATAAGTTGCTAGTGGTCAAAAAACATCAAAAAATATAAGGAAGTTAGTATGGTAGCTTGTAGGATTTGTAGGTGGTGGCTAGGTTAAGAAAGAACCTAGAGTTTAGTTGGATGAAGTAAAAATAAATGTAATGTCAATGGAAGTTGCCTTATTAGTTGGCAACCACCACCTATAAGTAACAAGTATTGGAAGTAAGAATTATCTTACTCCATACTCCATTTTGTGTGCAACCTTACTGATGCTAAGTGTTGTGACTTCAAAGTACTTGTTCTTCAATAGGTTATGGATCCACATACCTTTAGTTGTGAATTTTGAAGTTCTTTGAAGTCTTTGTTGGTGTTAAGAGTAGATCTTATGGTTCTTGTTGATGTTAAGGTTTGGTGTCTTCTAAATCTCTTTTTGCATCTAGTTATTGATGTAATTATGCTCTTATTTGTTGTTAAATGCATTCATAATCTTGGAGGTTGTTAGATACCTTAGATTGATATTTAAAGATACTTGTGTTGTGTTTCATTGCTGAGTTTCATTATTGGTGCTCTAACTTTGTGCTTATATGTATTAATCTCCTTAAGAGACTCTCTTATTGTGATAAGAGGTGCTTTGTGAGGTTAGAAGTGTTTTGTGAAAGAAGACAAGTGATTAAAGAGAGGCAAAGCTTATACTAGAGATTATCGAACTTGTGAGAAGTCATATAAGTAAAGTTAAAAGTGATTGAAGAGTGTAAACAATAGTTTACTCATTAAGAGGGCATTTTGGATTTCTAAGGTAGCAACATCTTCTTGTTAATTTTGAAAGTTCATTCTTTTTTTTTCTTGATTTTCTTTGATACACCCCTTCTTTAGACATGGCAGCAAGTGAGGGTGAGGGTTTGAGAGTAATTGAGAAGTTTAGAGGTGACAACTTCTACCATTGGAAGAAGAAACTGGAGCTCTTGTTAGCTTCATTAGACCTTTGGGACATTGTTGATGAAAGTGAAGACCTTCCAAGTGACGATGCTGATGTGAAGGTGAAGAAGGAGTACAAAAAATATAAAACGAAGGCTTTTGGCATGATTGTAATAAATCTTGATGATGCAAATTTTTCACATGTAATTGCTTGCACTGGACTAGCAAAAGCATAAAAGACTCTTTGTAACATCTATGAGAGTAGAAAACTTGCCAATATTCTATGGATAAGAAGGAAGTTCTTAAGAGTAAAGATGGAAGAAGGAGATGACCTCATGGCTCATGTCAACAAGGTAAAAGCACTTGCAAACCAACTAGCAATTGTTGACACACCACTTGATGATAGAGAAATTGTGTTGACATTACTTATGAGCCTTCTCGAGTTCCACAACTACCTCATTGTGGCATTGGAGTCCATCAACATAAAGGAGTTTACTATGAACTATGTCATGTCAAGACTTGCCCATGAAGTAACCAAGAGAAAAGAAAAAGAACATCAAAGTGAGAATTTGGCTCTATTCTCAAGAGAAGGAAAAGGTAGTTATTCTCACCAATGTGATAGTTTAAAGAGCAACATGAAAAATTACTATATTTGAAAAAAACTAAGTCACTTTGCTAGAAATTGCTACACAACTAAGAAAGAAAATAGAGGAAATGCAAATAATGCTTGTGATAACTTTGGTGAAGATGACTATACTTTCATGGTAAGTAAAAGAGCCTCTATGGCTGCGATGTCTAAGTGGATTATAGATTTAGGTACTACTAAACTTATGACACCATATAAGTGTTCATTTGATACTTATGAAGAAATTCCAACAACTAAAGTTTGATTGGGAGATAATGGCATGGTACAAGCCATTGGAATTGGCTCAATTGTTGTGGAGATTGCTATGAAGGACCAAATCAAGAGGATCAAATTGAAGGAAGTCTTACATGTGCCAAAGATGAAAAAAAACCTCTTTTCGATGAGTAAACTTGTATCACATGGTTGTAAGGTTCAATTTGACATGAATGGATGCTTTGTGAAGACAATGGGTGGACAACATATTACCAAAGGCCTTAGAGATGGAAATCTCTACTTCATCAATTGTAAGAAGGTGAATGGAGTTGAAGTGGCTACATTTGCTGATTTTCAACAAGACCAAGACAAGTTTAGAATCTGGCATCAACGACTTGGTCATTTGAATGCCAAATGTATGAAGGAGCTTCAATCTATGGTAAGTGGCTTGGATCTTGGTCATTTCAGCCACAATGCCATGACACTTGCTTGTGAAGGTTGTTTACATGGCAAACAACAAAGGAGTTCATTTCCAAATGGAGTTGCAACACGTTGTCATATGGCATGATTTGCTATCTGGGAATACAGTGGATATCTAGCTATAGAAAGTGTAGCTTAAACCTTTATATGAATCTTGTGTTAGCCTCCCAAAACTCATTTATATTGCATAAAACTCAAAATATATCAAAATCCCTTCAAAACATATTTTTCTAGCGAAGGGCTTTCTTATCCCGAACTTTAGAAAATCATAACTCTTGATCTAACCATTTAGTTTATTTCAAATTTACAAGATATGTAGGATTTATCCTTAACTTTTATTATAAAAAAAAACCAACTGCAAATTCACTGCCAATCTTCTGGCATCTAAGAAACCCTAGCAGATACTCTAAACCCTAATTTACAAGCACTCAAACACTATTTTCTTAATATCTCAAGAATCCAATATTCAAATATCATAAATCTTATGCTTAAATTTTATTAATATAAA